ACGACGAGGAGGCCTGGCTGCAGGGCCTGCTTCTGCGGACCGAGGCGCAAGTGCACTCGAGCAGGCGATCCGCGTCGATGCAGTCAACCGTGACGAGGTGTTGTCCCGCCGCCGTCGAGTCGGACGCGGCCAGCCTCGAGTTGGCTTCGGCGCAGGCAGCGCTGGCGCGATTGGCCCAACTGAGACCGGCAAAGGCCGGTTGGTGCCACGAGGCGCGTTGTCTGTTGGCGTCGCGGAGGGCCCAGCTGCTCTTCGAGGCGGCAGAGGCTGACATGTTCGCGAGAATGGTACGCATCTCGGACGGCCATTTCGTGTACTCTTCTCGCACTTTTCACTCGACGCCACATGCCACTTGTTGCCATGACGTGGCGATGAGTAGTGGACATTGTTAATCTTGAACCGACCCACTTCAGGCCATCGCTTGGTTGCTTTAGCCGCCCAGTGACAAGGTCTTGAATGGTTGGGGTTGAGGCTTGGCCACCGACGCAGTGACGACAAAGCGCACTCACTCACGAACACCAACGAGGTGTTGTTGCCATTTGCTGTTGCTGTTGACGTTGACGTTGACGTTGACGTTGACATTGACGTTGGCGTTGGCGTTGGCGTTGATGTTGGCGTTAAGCAACACGCAGCTACAGTTCGTCATAGAGAAACGTGTAGAAAAAGACCCTCTGCAAGCGCTGCCTTCACGAGTGTCATCTTCCTTTTTTGTTGCCTCTTTTTCAGGCTCGACTTGCAAAAGTCGAGGACGGCCCGACCAGCTCGTCCTCCATCGCCGCGGCCGCCGCCAGTTGCCTTTCCGTCTACTTCGAAGTGTCTTGCCAGCTTTCTGCCGCCGCCCAAGAGGCGTCCACGTCGGCTCTAGCCTCTCGAATGCTCTTGCACAACGTCTGGTCGCCGATGGTCGCCTTTTTTTGCCGCCATCTCGAGGCACAGATCAACGCAGAGGTAGGCACAAGTGAACTCGCCCAGTCGACCCGGCTGATTGGCCGAATTGCTGACTCGCTGATTGGCCAATTGGCTGATTGGCCGGTTGCCTGATTGGCTGATTAGCTCATTGACTCATTGTCAACTGTATTCACCCTAAGTAGGAGGAATAACTGGGTTTTCATGTCAAAATGACAAGAAGACGTTTACGAATGCATCTTCTTCACACTTCACAATGTGTATGATCATTTGCCGAATTGCTGACTCGCTGATTGGCCAATTAGCTGATTGGCTGATTATCTGATTGGTTGATTATCTGATTGGTTATTAGCTCATTATCTCATTGTGAACTGTATTCACTATAAATTCGAGGAATAACTGGGTTATCATGTCAAAATGACAAGAAGACGTTGACGAGTCCGTC